ATCGGCTTCGCAAGCTGTCCAGCACAGTCAGCACAGGAATCACGAGACCTCAAGAGGATCGCTCTGAGAATTCCCTACAAACCATCTTCTTAGTTCGCCAGGCGCAAAAAATCAAACAATAACCATATGGCGTGAACCCCTATACCACACATGCCATGCTACTGTCAACTTTGACAAGCCAACTCTAGAGCACCCGCCTCTCCAAATAGCAGCATGCAGTAGAAGCCGGAAAGTTGGAATATGGTTTCAGGGTAGGATAACCTATAATTTACCATAGAACGGTTAGGATAATCATATTCCAACTTTCTGGCTGTTACCTTAGTGCTAGCAGGGGCGTCGCTATGTGGCATGTGTGAAATCCCTGTCTCCCCTTTGTCGAGTCATCGTGCTTAAAGGATCATGGGACTTCGTAACTGAGTTTTAATTAGGATAACTGTACTTATAACTACTGATAACCCCAACTAACGTACTTATAACCTGACTTACTAAGTCCCGTGATCCTCCAAGTTTATTGCAGCTCATGGCCCTCCAAGGTCTGAAAGCATCACACCCGCGCCTAGTAAGAATAAATTAAATGGCTTCTTTGTAAGCAAACGGAGTCGAGACTGACGAGACGGTGAGAGAGGGGCCTTCATCAACGGTTAGAGTAATCAACCAAAGTAATTGTGGTGTTGGCGTATGTTGAAAAAAGGAGAGATTGTGTTGGGACTTTCAAGATACTATCAGTAGTTATTCCGACTCCTTTAATACTTCCTTATTCAATCCCTGGCTGTGGGACCTCGGTCTGCGTCTGGGTCAACGTCGCCATGGAAACCTGCATGCAATCTACATTCTACCTATAGTCTCCATTGTAGTTTCTTTTTTGGGTTACCTTCTAGGATCCTAACTATAAAATTGGTCTAACCAAAAAAGGGAACTACAACGGAGACTATAGGTAGTCCGAGCTTTTCGGAAACTACACCGACACAGCATCCCTGGTGGTTTAAAGTTTGCGGGTTTGGAGTCCGCACTTCCTGCTATCAGGAGGAAATGCTGAATTCACAAGTGCTGCCTGGATGTTGGACTGCAGCTCCAGTTCAGGACAGGAGTGGACTCGCAGTAAACCACCCAAACTGAGAACACCCGGCGCGGCGGTGTGCCGTTCCCTTCCGATTCCTGCCTGCTGCAGACAACCCTTATCATTCCCTTATCACTGTCATTATCTAAAGAATAAATCCCGACAACACTATATCATCAGAGCTCAAAGCAATAGATCGAGTCTCAAAACCGCAGAACCAAAACCACCATGAGAGCAAAACGCACACTCTCACTCTTCAGCCAGGGGATCCTTCCATGCTCTCCGACGTCCGAAATTTTCTGTTTGACGAGTTCTGCCTGCAGGGTCCCAACTGTCTAATGACAAATGATCAAGGTCTGCAGATTGTGTAGGACTGCTTGCATGCACTGAGGGCTAAGTTTAAGCTTGACTCCTCCACCGCAAAAGATACCAGTCTTGAGGCATCAGTGCCAGCTTGGCAGGTTTAGGGCACTTCAACAAGGTTCCAACAAAGATCCGTGCCTCACTGCCAGCGCGGCTGCCGCGTGTGAGGTGGAACTTCAGCCACAATAGCTGTGCAGCCCGACGAACAGCTGCAATGTTTTCTGCACTACAAACTGCCGTGAACAACATGGAGATATCATCCCATTGAAAGGCGCATGGCTACTGATTGCAACGAGACTTTAAGCACACCACTCTGTCTCGCAGCTCAACATACTAGGCCCAGCCCAGCCATTGGATTTAGTTCGGGGTTCAATGCAGGGTTCGACAATACTCACCTAAGGTCCTGAGTCTGGAAATCTTCTTCAGTACACGGTCATGCAAAACGCAGCAGTGTTGGTGACAGTTTGAGGCGGCTTTGGTTACAAACAACATTACTGGATCCGAAATCTCTAAACCACACTGTCAGCAGCACACTCAGGTTTCATCATGCAAGTGCGAGCGACTTTGCCCAGAGGCTCCATACGACCTGATTCCATACTACCCCTGATTCCATACATGTATAACACTAAACCTTAAACCTGTAGCATATATGGACGCTCTAGGTTATGTGGGTGGTTGTCCAGATTAGGGTCTCTTTTTGTGTCCTTAGTATAATACGGGACCTGGCGACCCTAATTTTGACAACCACCCCTGTCTTCAAGAGTCTGCGTGGCCGTGCTACGAGCCGACTGAAGAGGCCGGCTTCGATCAGCGAGGCCGGGGCCAAAAGAAGCGAAGAATTCGAAGACCAGCTCTTAAGATTTTTGGTGGGTTCGAGCTTTAAACAAACTCAAATCATTTATTTAGGGTTTAGGGATACAAAAGAAATTTTCAGTTTTCAATCATCATAGGGTTTAGGGCTTTGAAGAGTTTTGAGGGTTCTGGAATTCCAGGACTCTTTGTCGGCTTCGTCGCGAGCTCCGGGCTTATCCACTCGAAGCAGCGACGCGTTCGGAAACGCAGTTCAGAAACGGTTTTTAGGGTTTGTACCTATAGTCTCCATTGTAGTTCCTTTTTGGGGTTACATTTTGGGGTCCTTGATAAAAAAGTTGTCAAACCAAAAAAGGAACTACAATGGAGACTACAGGTACGGTTTAAGTTTGAATTTAGGATCGCAAGAATTCGTAAGAATGTCCCCTTACAGTCCCTAATATAGGTTCGCTAAGACTGTACCCCAAACTTAGTTTTACTTACTCAGGCCTGTATATAGCCCGCAGCGGCATCGGCACGAGCCAAACTTCAGTCTCAACTCCTGAAGTCCACCCGGATCAATCTACGGCCCAAGCCGATCATTCAGCTGTGAAGCAGATCTGGCTACAGTCATGCAACATGAAACGGAAACAAGACTGTCAACAGGAAGCCCTGGAGACGTGGAGAGCTTTCGAGACGTTTTGCGTTCGGCTAGACCCCAAGGGACCAATCCAGCTGGGAACCAGGTACTTGGGTTCAGGATACTAGTTTTGTAGGTTATAATACTTGGCAGAGTAGCTTATTGGGTACAGCTCAGGACTTTGATAGGTGTAGGAGCTGAGGCTTTCAAGGTTGGATTGGGGACGGCGGGTCACGTGAAATAGCCCAACATGCAACCGAAATCCACAGGCAGGTGCGAGACTATAGTCATCTGTGGATGCTAGCCACTGCGCGGCAAAACCTCCCGCAAGCCCGTCGGCTTTAGAAACGCTGGTACTGTCTACCAGGGCTCCAGTGAATTATCAACATGCACAAGGTCTCTTATCCGAAGCAGCCTCACTCGAGGCTTGTCGATTGCATCCACCTCAAGCGTAGGCTGAATACTGTCCAAAGCTGTACATGCAGTACAATAACATTTGCATATACATATATGGGTTGCCATTTTCATGACATGATAAGATTGTCATGGTTTTGATTATGCGCATATTAGACCGTGCATCCAAGAAGGTCGGTGACCTAAGTTAAATGAAGGAGACGCATCCAAGAACCCAAAACTAAATCCTACATAAACCCTTGAAGAGACCTATATATATATATATATATATAGAGAGAGAGAGAGAGAGAGAGAGAGAGAGAGAGAGAGAGAGAGAGAGAGAGAGAGAGAGATAGAGAAAGACACACACATACACATGTGTATATCTTATATATGCATATGTATATGTATACGATTTTATATATACACACACATCTCTCTCTCTCTATATATATATATATATGTATACATATGTGTTGTTATTTTCATGACCATTGCTGATAAGACGATCATGATTATGATTAAGAGCCTCTTCGACCGTGCATTCTAAAAAGTTCGGTGACCTAAGCTAAATGAAGGAGCCCCAACCTTGAACCCAAAATCCTAAACCCTTGAAGAGTCCACGAGAAGGCCTAATTTAGGGTTTGCGGTTCAGAAATGAGTGCTTATAGAAAACCGCAAAAAGCTGGAAACCTGACTAAGGACAATTAGTGCTGGGATTCCCTCTACATGACCCTTAAGGATTGAGGCTATTGGGCTTCCAACTTTTGGGCTTCTACTGTAAGGTTTAAAAACCCCAAACTCTACCTTAACCCCGAAGACCCTACATCTTTTTAAGGACTTATACAAAGAAATCCTAATAAGGAGCCCTAAAGCGGTAGACTACACAGGGCTAAGGTAAAGTTTAAACAGTCAGCTCTCAGGGCCCAGCCTAGAGGTAACAAGGAGCCAGGCAGGTAGGAGGAGATCTGAAAGTGAATCAGCTGAACATTGGACACAACGAACCCTAAGAAAAGGGAACTCACATTTATGGCCAGAATATAAAGGGACCAAAGATACTTTTCCAGATTAGCTATTCCGGCCTCCAGGCTATGCGCCCAGCATGCTGGAGATGTACTCGGCGCTTTTCGAGCTCAAGCTTGCAAATACCGAACCGAGAGGTGCTGTAGGCCCGATCGAGCTCTATCAGCCAAAGCATCAAAATGTGAAGTGTGTCATAGCCATAGCCCATCATCTACTAGATTATAGCAGAGTGTATTATTACTATACCAAACTCTGCTGTTCTGCAACGTATCACAATACGACTCTGTTATATTATACTATTGTACCGACCCCCTTCTTTTAGAGCTCCAACAGCCCCTCGCTCCTGACATGCCCGCCCCTCTTTCGCAGAAGGGCCCGCTGTCCTAGGACTACCGGATTTAGGGTTTACCCATAGGCTCCATAGTAGTTCCTTTTTTGGGAATACCTTCTGGGATTCTGAACATGAACCCCCCAAAAGGAACTGCTATGGAGCCTCTAGGTATGCGCTCTGCTGCAGTTCGAAACATGCCCGCTTCTTTGGGAAACCATGTGACGACTGAACCACCTCTATACGGTCTGTAGTTCAAGGCTGTTAAGTGGTCTGCAGTAGGCTTGTCCGGACTGACGAAGGAGGAGGGGTCTACAGAGCTCCAAGCCTTTGCAAGCCATGGACACCCCATAACCTGTAAACCTTTGAGCACAACAGGCGCAGTGAGGTTAGATCCCCGCCCGGGCCTACTGCGTCTCCACCGGACTTTTGACCGCCTGACAATCAGGAGCACAAAGTGATGGCACCGATGACACCTCGCTATATGTATATATACATATATATATATATATGTAATAGCAAACGAAATAATGATAACTACAATGTACTAAGTAGTAATCTAGTGATGGTAAAAAGGAAACATTAACAGTAGCAATAACAATAAAACGACTAATCAACATCACGGCTGGATAACTATACCCATAGGCCCCACAGTAGTTCCTTCTTGGGATTATCTTATAGAATTGGGATTTACCTTATAGAATTCTAAGTATTGACCCCCAAAAGGAACTACTATGGGGCCTATGGGTATACTATAGATAAACCCTTGTAGTTTAACCCTAGAAAATAGTGGGTTATGACCCCTGAATTAGAGGGTAGAACCCTTAAATCGGTAGGTTTGGGGATCCCTAAACCCTAAACGGAACTCCAGACAGTTGGAATATGGATTAATGGTGGGATCCCCTATATTTTACCTTAAAGGGATTATCATAATGATATTCCAACTTTCTGGCTTCTACTGTAGGGGGTTAGGGGTTTAGGGTTTAGGGATTTAGGGAGTCCTGTTTACTATCACTACACTACTAATAACTAGTACATTGTCCTTTAAGTAGACCCTAAACCCGAAACCCTATAGATCCCTTTAAGGAACCCCTATAGATCCCTTTTTAGGAACCCTTTAAGGAGCCGCCTAGTTCCTAAGTCCCATGATCCTTTAAGTCTAGACCCAAGAGTAACCTAGGAATAAAAAGGGTGCCCTTTTTGGTTTAAAGGGGCTTATAAGGGAACCTGAACCCTCAAAAAAGGGAATAAGGGCCTACTCTGGGTCCTAGAAGTCATTACTAATAATTAGTACATTGTAGTTATCATACCCTCATCTTCCATAGATCCCTTTAAGGAACCCCTATAGATCCCTTTTTAGGAACCCTTTAAGGAGCCCTTCCATGCACGTGATCGCCTCGGCGGCCTTCTTCTCTATCTCCTGGCGAGTCAAGTCTCGAGAGGCTTGGGGCCAGGTCGGTCGTTGTGGGCGCACACACAGAGATATGTCTACACATATGTATATGTATATATATATATATGTCTATATATATAATATGGTATATATGCATATATGTGTATAGTATATATGCACATACACACAAGCGACCAGCCTCCCTGTCCCCTCCCAGTCTTTCACAGCACCCTCTCCTTGCTGACTCGATTCAGCGCCTCGCCGCCGTCGTAGCCGAGATGCTGAGCCGCAGCGTAGGCCTCCGCGGCCGCCGCCAGCTTTCCCTGCTTCTCCCGCGCTTGGCCGAGGCCGAAGCGCACGAACTCGTCACCAGGCTCCAGTCGCGCAGCCTCGGCGTAAGCTCGCTCGGCGCCCGCGAAGTTCCCCAGGGCCAGCCGAAGCCCACCGAGAGACCAGTGTGCTCCTGCGTCCTGCGGTTGCTGTTTCGCCCTTTCCTCGTAGACGCGCAGCTTCTCCTGTAGCTCCACCTGGCAGAGAGTACAGAGTGCAGGGTGTGAGGGTGACTGAAAACCTGATCGGGAAAACTCGTCCCGGAACGCCAGAGTGAGCAGTGCAGAGAGCATCTGAGGAGACAATCATATGAATAGACACGTATCAACCAGGTACCATAGACACTTATCAACCAGGTACCGTCTGCAGAAAAGACAACGGGAGCACATATCGGGTTTGGGGACAACTAGTGTTCATACCGTTAGGACGAGGAACATGGCTTATAAAAGCTTGCAGGTAGTCAGGTCTAAGAGTCTTCACAGATCAGGTGAGATGCTCGGAGTTTAGGGTTCAAAGAAAGCCCTAAACCCTAAACCCTAAACCCGAAACCCGGGGTGCAAAGGTGGCTGACCCGAATGTCGGACCCCGAGGGTGAAGGACCAGGCTGGGATGAGGCTTTAGAATTCTTGGCACCTGCAAGAGGGCGATGAAGGCCTATAGGGTTTACGGTGTAGGGTTTAGGGTACAGTATAGGTATATTGGGTTGAGAGTGTAGGATTTAGGGTGTAAATGTATATTATAATGTATATATATATATGTATACAGATAAATATAAGCATATATATATATATATATATATATATATGCATATGTGTGTGTGCGATTCTTGAGGTTGCTATTCCTACTGAATCCTTGATTGAGGCTGGAGGCCAACAGTCAGTATCTGAGGAGAGTTCAGGCTATCGTCGGATTAAACGAATAAATAGGAGAGGGTTTTGGGGCCCCTTCTACTATAATCATAATAAGGGACCCCCGCAAAATGGGTAACTAGGCCTTTATAGTATGTAAAGACAGGGGCAGCAGCACACATTCATGGTTGCGCCTTTGAAGCACGAGCTGTAAATGCTCCGATAGGTTCCTCGGCAGCCTGTCAACGATGTGGGAGTGGAAGCTTCCAACAATTGTTGTTAGAGGTTGAGCTTTCGCGGAAGAAGGGTCGCTGCACATGCTGCGATGTCAACAAAGCAGCCGCAGATTCAGCTACCTTCCGGTCTATGGGTATTTCTACAGGCCTGGCGAAACCGTGCCCGATGCCACATCCGGTGGTAGCTCGGCATCACACACTGCTACTCGTAAATTCCCTGTAGGTGTATATTCGAAGAAGCTGGACATGCAGAGGCTCGTCAAATCGTGCTAGTTCAGCAAGAGTCGTAGTAAGTTTGTGTCTGTGTTGCATACAATTATTGCTACGACATGAGTTCTGACGTGTGTCATGCTCCTAATGCTACTATATCACTGTTGCTGGTACTGCGCCACTACGGTTACCATCATATGAACCAGATGTGACGATTTCTGCCCCACTGTTACTACAAGTTTTGCACCGCATGCCGACACTACTAGTACCACTCTCATGCTACCGTATAAAGTTTTACAGAAAGAGGCCATAAAGGTTGCTAATGCCGAGTCGTTCTTCCAAAACTTCCCAGCTGCTCCGAGTATGGGTACTGGGCTGACAACGAATGCGGATATCTACTATAGGGGTTTAGGGTTTAGGGTTTAGGGTTTAGGGGCCTGAACAAGTACCAATACTGTTTTGGGGTTCCTTCCTTATTATAAATATTGTCGGCCCCAAGACCCAATTCTAATTACGAAGGCCCCTATATCTACACCAAACAGCAAGAAAATCCCGATGATTCTAATATGCCTTCTAAGGTTTCACTCTACACTCACACTGCACAGCTCTCGGCACGCGTGCAAACCCTTCTTTTGCGCGCAGTGCACTTGAAAGGTGCTTTGCCCCGAATTGGGGCTCAGGGGGATGGGCGGGTGGGCTACCTAAAAAACTAAGCTACCTTGAGCCTAAACGTGCGGTGAGACAGAGGTGAAACCCTACGCACACTACGCTGTACTAACCGAGTTTCACTCTACACTCACACTGCACAGCTCTCGGCACGCGTGCAAACCCTTCTTTTGCGCGCAGTGCACTTGAAAGGTGCTTTGCCCCGAATTGGGGCTCACCCCCCTCCATACCAACGGAGCCGGGACCGAAGCGGTCCTCGGCTCAAAGCCTCAGAAGGAGAGAGGGAAGCGTAGGTTTCCCTTTGCCCAAATATCAGAAAGGTCCTCGTTGAGATGCCCGGGACCGAAACGGTCCTCGGGTTCTCTTCAAGGGGGTATGAGGTCCACCTCGGCCATTGCCTTGGCTACCCCTTTGGACGACGCACGGGCATCCCAAATATAGCCGTGATACACGTCACTCGCCCACCGCCCGAAACGCTGCAACTGGGCCGAGTTTTGATAAGCCGCCCAGATGGCGGACGCGCCGCCAAATCTCAGGGAATGAGCTCCTGTCGCTCCCTGCATGCCTTGGTGTTCTGCTGCCTTAGCGATGAGCATCTGGAGGCATTCGCGGGTGACTCCTCTAAGGAGAGGCTCACCGGATTCTTCTCCATTGCCATGGCGTGCTGGGAAGGTCGAGAAGAAGCGGATCGCTGCATCCACGGGACACAGTGGTGGGACTCCTCGAAAATGATTTCGAGTAGTCCCACGATTGAACTTGTCCGTCTTACTCCCCCGAAGGGTGATCACGACCTCGTCCGCAGAGTGAAGATCCTTTAGATCGCACTCCTGTCCACCCTTCCTCAGTCTCAAATCTGTACCCTTAAGGTGTCTGGAGTCAGGAAGGTAAGGGACAGGGAGGAACTCGGAGGCCCTCAGGAGGAAGAAGTAACCCAGGCACAGCGCGAGCCAAAGACCGGGTGCTTCGTGCGGGGCATTTTCCCAAAGTTGGGTGAAGAGGTACGCAAGCATCGTGGGAGTCACCGGTAGCCTCCGAGTTGGCGTTGCATACCTCTTCTTGAACCCCGCGAGGACAAGAAGCAGTCGCGGTTTCCCCTCCAGTGGGTCTTTAAGCCCGAGGGAGACGTGAGCCGATTTGATGGCCGCCAGCCTCATTTTAAGGGTTCCTGGTGCTCTCGCCCCGTTGATGGCCGTGTGGAGGAGGAAGTCCAGCAGGTGAGTCTCCTCCTCGCTGGGCTCGCTGCCGCTGAGCAACCAGGGGATGCCTCTGCGGAGGCAAAAGAGGCGCCACCACTTTAACTGCCCTTGGTAGGCCTTCTGTGTGGTGGTGGTAAGGCGGTCCATGGCGACTCGGAGAGCTTCTGCCTCAAAGGCCTCACGCGTGGCCAAAGGTAGAGCCAGCTGGGGAGGCTTGGAGCCGTACAGCCTTTTCGCGGAAGAGGGCCCTCCGAGGAAAGGTGGTTCCTTCTTGTTCTTGACCGGACCGGCCAGTTCCTCGTAGGAGGGTTCTTCTTCCATCTTTTGGAAGGTGACCCTGCGCTGCGCCTAGCCCCACATCGAGCCTCATCCTCACGCTCATTTTCGCACTGAGTAAGGAGAGGTCCGGGAATGAAACATTCCTCGGACCCTCCTTGCTCCGGTGCTTTATGAGTGACTCCCGGGAAGCCCGGCTGCCCCCAAAGGCAGCTTCCCAGGAGTCCCAGGAGGAAGAAGGTCACGCCTATGAGCATGAGATGCGCATAGGCGTGATTAGTGTCTCGAGTGGCATTATCGTGGTTGCGAGGCCCGAGGTCGGCCAGGTACCCCCAGCGCGCCTCGGGTCCACAATCGCGACATGGTTGCGCCGCTTTGTGAAAAGCGGTCGAACCAGGTTGCAGCTTGGAGCGTGAAACACTGCTTCATCGCGAAGGAACTTCACTTCCACCTTGCCCCCATATGGTTTCCTCCTATCCCGGGCTTCCGGGACGGGGATGAACGTCGTAGGGGCACACGCCGGACAGGGGTGGAGAACATAGGTCTCATGCCCGGAAACGTGTGGGCAAGAGGGCCTATGGTACGAGGTTCCGCGCGGTGTGCAGCAGATCGTCGTGTTTCCGATCCTCCTCCTGGCCAGCTGCCCCATAGCTCCCGCCTGTGGTGGTGGGGGCGGGGTTCTACCGGCTCCACCTTGGGGCAGTGGTGGAGGCATGGGAGGTGCCTTTGCGGTGCCGCTCGCTTGGCTAGACGAGGCGGCTTGGTCTGCTACCATCCTGAGGGGAGGTGGCGGAGCCTTAGGAGAGAAGGCTGCCTCTTGCCTTGGTGTGCGCGGGGCATTGTTACTGTTGTCCATACGCTCGCGCCTCCGACAGCAACCTCTGGCGCGACGCCAGCAGAACTGGGCCCAAAGGCAGGCCACGACGCCCAGAAGGAAGCCCTCGAAGAGGCCCGTCTCCCAGAGGTAGGCCTCGGCTCTTCCGCTTTCTCCTAGCCCCGCCACGCCTCGCGCGCTTCCCCCGGTAAAAGGAGTAAGAGCTCCCCCCTCCGAGCGTCCGGGGCCGAAACGGCCCTCGGACCTCGGGAGTGTCTGCTCTGAGTTCCTCGTCCGGTCCCGGGCATGCGCGATTGCGTGGTTGGTGTCTCGATCCGCATCATCGTTGCGGGCCTTCTCGCGGAGCCTCTCCTTTCGTTGCTTCTTTTTGAGCTTTCGCCGGCGAGTGGAGTCCGGGGGACGCTTCGCCTGGCGCGTGCCTTCCTGCGCAAGAAGGGCACGAAACTCCCGCAACTCAAGGCGAGCTGCCTCCTTCATTCTCTCATCCAGCGCTTCGCCTGTCGGCGTGGGTTCTGCCCCTGGCGGGCGCTCCGCCCTCTCCCTGGCCGCCTCCGCCTCGATGCGGGCCCTGTGTTCTTGAGCGCGGAGCCTCCCCTTTTCCTGCTTTCGCGAGTGCCGGCCTTGATAGCTGCCGTGAGGCGATCGGAGCTGAGGGGTTTTGAGGCGAGAGAAGGTCTGACAGGGTTCTGTCTTTCCAACTCTCGCATCGCCTCGCCCTGACTGTCGAGCTCCTTGAGGTATGCGGCATCCGACGTCTCCAAGGCTTTAAGGTTACGCACCTTTTCTTCCAAGAGTCCTTTGACTTCTCGAGAGGCGTCCCCACGCTGGGTCGCTAAGCGTTCCAGGTCAAGGAGAAGCTGCGCCTTGGTGCCTCCCTCTCCAGCTGCCTCCTTGAGGGCCGCAGACAACGACTTCCAGTTCCGTGTGTCCGCGTCTGAGATCGCCCTGAGCAGGCCGACCTTGGGAGCAGTAAGTCGGATGCCCGTCCGTGGCACAAGGGGCCGACTCGCAGACGAGCTTTCTGAA